GTTCTCCATCTATATCAACATCCGAATCTGACCCTGTGGGACCCAGTGGTGGCCGAGGTGGTCCAATAATCGGCTCATCATCCTTCCCATCTTCACCAAGCGGCCTAGGAGGTCCAATCATTGCCCTGTCATTTGCCACCTCCTCCTTCTCATCACTCCCAGGATGAGGCATAGGGCCTCAATTATCGCTTCCTCATCTTCAACTGGTGGCCTAGGCGGCCCAACCAACTCATCCTCCTTGCCGCTGTTCTTTGAATTCTCATCAATTCCAATACTTGATCTAGTGTTACGCTTAGTGTTTTTGAGGGAGTCCTACCATGCTATAGAGGAGCTAGAGATAAAAGGCAAGGCATTGGTTTTAATATTATAAGTAGATGGGGAAGGTTTTTCGACTGTCGCGATGGTAGGGCAGCGCATGGCATTGTGAATGGCTTCGAGAGGATTTTGGGATTTCGATTGCTTGTCGAAAGTGATAGGAAACTGTGTTCTAATTCCGTCATATATCTCAGCTTCATCCTCCATCTTCGCCTGACTGTCTTTGATATATGATTATGCCCATGCACCCGTTAAATTCTATTTCATTTCTCCCTCTCCTATTTTCAACCACACAATCTTCCATAAAATAATATTACACATAAATCGAAATTTTTTCCTTCATTTATATATTTGTATGTATATTTTTATGTGTTGTGACAGTGAAATTTGTTCCAACTGATAGATTTCGACTTTGAAGCAATTTATAGGCAATGCTCTATCGCAATGGCGGATCCAAATATGACTTCAGTGTTAATAATAATAGGCCTACTGGGCGAGTTGTGGCAATCCATGGCCTGGCCACCAAGGCTCGGCTCGACCCATTTGGTGGGTCGAGTTTGGTTTGGTTTCTTAACTAAGGGAATAGGTTCGGAGATCCCATGAGCCTTGTTCACAATGAGTCGGAATCGAGCTAAATTTTGCTGGTTCTCGCGCCTTTTGATTTATTTTCCTTTCGAATAGATTATAAAGAAAAATACTAAAAAAATTAAAGACAAGAGAAGAAACTATAGCGTAATTAAATAAGAAAAATAAGGTAGGCTCATAGCGAAACCAACAGGGTTATTTACCAACCTCACTCAGCTTGTGTGGTCAAATTTTGTGTATTGCTAAGTCCATGAACTCACGATGAAACAAGTTGAGCCATAAATAGCTCAGCTCTCATAAATCGGCTATGATCCGAGCCCATTACTACCCCTTGTTGTGTGATGTGAAAATTACAACAACACGTGATTTTTAACTTTCAACTTGAAATATCAAGTATAAAAACTCATTTATTTAAAAATCAAGTCAAATTCAACCATTTAATATTAATAATAAGATTATTAAATTAAATTAATCTACTAATTATGGATAAATCCATAACCCATCCCTCAAGTAATAGCTCCTGCCAAAGCACATGTTTGATTCCCTTTAAAATTTTAATATATTTTTCTCTTTCTTTTTTTTAACCACATATTCTTCAATAAAATAATATTACACGCAAATCATATAATTTTTCATTCTTTTATAACCATACATACATTTTCCAAAAAATTAAATTCCAAATATTTTTCCCAAATTTCTCATTATAATGTTTGTCAAATGGAGGAAATCTCTCTCTACATAAAGTTTATCTACATACTACAAAAATATATACAATATTTACAAGCACGCAACCACCCAACCCTCGGCTTCTTTACTAATTCTTGTTTAAATCAATGATTCAGACAATTATATTACTGAAAACGTGTGATAATAAATTTGTAGTATCACTTTTTGAATTCGATTGATGGATGTAATTGTGATTTTTGGAAGAGGAGGGATTGAAGATCTGATGGAGGGTAGTGATGCAGGCAGTTGTGCTGGTGGCTATATGATAGTGTGTTTATGAAATACAAATTTGCGGATAGTGGCGATGCGAGTAGTTGTACGTGGTGGTGCTGCTGAATGTACAAATTTGTATGCTAGTGACGGTACAAATCTAGTGGTAAGGGGACAATAGCGTTTTGAGTACAAATATTCTAGGGATTGTGTAGTGGTGGTGGTGGTGAGGTCTTAGCAACGTTTTGAATACAAATCTGTGGGGTGGTGGTGCAATAGTTGGTCGGATGAAGAGCAATTATGATCAATTATTGAATAATTGTAACTAATAAAATGAGTAATTTGTGATTAATAAATAAGAGAAATTATCTAATGAACATCGGTATTTAGCTTATGTTAAGTAACGGTGACATGGCACACCAATTAATTGTGAATCGTTAAATTCATGAGCCCTACCATTAACATATTCACTAATTAATTGATGTGTTATGTTACCAGTGCTTAACATAAGTTAAACACTGATGTTCATTAGATCATTTCTCTAATAAATAATATGTGATCTAGAAAGTGTGATTTGTATGTAAATTTATAATTGTAATTTACAATTTGTGTCTTTATGATCGATAATAAGTTGTGATCAATTAATTTGATAATTTTTTATCGGTAAATAAGTTGTGATCAATTAATTTGATAATTCATGATCGATAAATAAGTTTTGACCGATTAAAAAAATGTAATTTGTGACTAAATTTACAATTGCAACGCATATTTGTGTCTTTGTGACATTTATGTTATGTGATTTTTTTAATTTGAAATTGTATCTTAAAATATCTAAGGTAGTTGGCAATTACAATTTCAAAATTAAGAAACTTGTTTTAAAGTTTCAAAACTCAATCATAATTCTAAATTTATCAATTAATAAATAATTAAAAATATTTTAATAATTAATTATATTAAGGTCACAATATTATACAATTTATGATCACAGTTAAATAATAATCATAATTACAAAACATCACAGTCACAAATCATAAATTTTATAACTTACAAATTATTTAAAATCACAAATTATTAAATTAATTGATCACGAGTTATTTTTCTCGATCACAAATTACAAATTTAGTTGCAATCTCACATTTTATGTAACATATTATTTATTCAGCATAAATTATCGATATTTCGATCCACATACATTCATAAATTAATCATTTTATTGATCACAATTACTCTTCGCCCCACGTAATCCCATCCCGTCCCAACCCCACTCCACCACCGGAACCAGCTAAATGGTCGCACCCCACCAGCGCCATTAACTTTACCGTCAACTACCATCATCATTTGTGACCACCACCACTGCCGCCTACATTGCCACAACCATTTGAAAATCACTAACAACCACCACCACCAATAAAAATCATCGCAAAACTCCGACAGATCAAAGGAAGAGGAAGAAATCACTCCCAAAAAGTCTAAAAACATCGTTGCTGCTACGTGTCACTGTACGTGACTTGGCAACGTCTCTACTTCACGCAATGGCATTGCACATAGTGCCATCGTCGATTCAATTGTAGTGGATGAAGCTAGACGGGGATGGACAAATGTAGACCGATGAGGATGGATGAATGTTGAGCTCAATTGTAGTGATTTTTTTGCGATGGATGAAGGCATACGAGGACGGCGATATTTGAAAGGGTCGTCGATGCCTAGGAGGTGGATTAGGGTTTGAAGTGTAAGTATGATGGATTGCGAGAGATTCTTAGGATTTGGGATTTGGATGTGTATGGTTGTTAGTCGGGTATCGTTACTCTCTCCATCTCAATTATATAGTCTTGTTTAATTTTCACACGGATCAATAAATCTTCCTTAATATCATTGGAAAATTAATCTTTGATAAGATCTTTCCTAATTTACTCTTATTTAATTTTCAGTTTGCAATAGTAAATTATTGTTGGAATTAATAAAAAATTTGAATGATTTAATTTAAAGAAGAAGAAATGAGAATTGTTCCATGTTTTCAAGAAGTGGAAAATGTGTGTATTTGGATGATTTCAAGAAGTTGTGATATTAGATATTAAGTGGGAAAATTTGAATAAATGTATATTGGTAAATGAACAAAACAAAATATTCTAAATTTAGAAACGGGGTTGTATATTTGGGACAAGAGAAAAAGAAAACTCAGCTATATAATTTGGACGGAGGGAGTATTTATGTTTTTAAATTAAAAATAATAATTATAATATGCTTTAAAAAAAACAATTATAATCTAATTTTTTAAGTTGAAAACTGAAATTCAAGTATGGACATAATTTTCACACATGTTAATTATGTATTTTTCATTGGGTGATTATAATCATGGCCCTTGTTTGAGCCCTTTTTTTCATCAAAATACATTATGTAATAGTGATTTTGACATCACTTCAATCAGACATTCTTCAAATAAAATAATATTATTCGTAAATTCAGATTTTTTTAAATTTTTTAACCACACATTTTTCATTAATACACTATTCAAAAATATATTTTTTGACAAGAATGGGGATCAAATAAGGACATGGCCTCAATCTCTTATAGCCAATGAGAAAAATCTATAAGCGTGAAATTTTGTCTGCCGTCTTGAAATTTTTTGTTTTTTTTGCCAAGAGAAAAAAAAATGAAAAAAAAGAAAGAGAAGATCGCGTGTTTGCGACCCATTAAAAATTAAAATTAGAATTGGTCAATTTTATTATTCATTATCTTGGACCACATTCAATACATTCGTTGTGTGCGTCAGAAAAATGAATTTTATTGTTAACTTTTGGAGACATGATGTCAGGGACAAATTTTCACTTTCCCAATTTATCCTTCCATTAGAGGGTTCCTCTAAAAATCATTATAGAATCCCCACCCTTGCTCACTTCGGTCACAAGTCCCCTATGATGATAGGGTGCCCAGCTCGACGTTCCAATATTCAGAAGCAGTTGTTTGATCCGAGATATCATTTTTATGTTGGTTGCTTTTGAAAGGATTATTTCTGTAAATTAATTTTGAATAGTGAGGGTGTTTTGGTCCAAACGGGTTCGAAAGTGTTCAGTTAAAATTAAAATATCTAACCAAACTTTTGTGAACCTCGATATTTATTTTTATTTTTAATTTTTTTTTAATGAGAAAACCTCTTTAAAATATCCGCAGGGACAGGGACAGGGACAGGGACGGGGACACAGGCTTGAGGGGCAAATAAGAAACCCAGTTTCTCCATTCATTATCTTGTAAACTTCTCTCACGGGGGTTTCGCAATTTGCCAATAAAATGTAATCATTTTCAAGATGAAAATGCATATTTTTTGCTTCTGATTCTGGTAATTTCTTTTAAAATTGAGTGTATAATTTACCTGGGTTTGATTGAATTGTACAGGGAAGGTAGTTTGAAGCCAATGGATGCAGAACAACTCAGGGAGCGTGCTCACAAGATGGTAGACTTCGTTGCTGATTACTACAAGAATATTGAAAATTTCCCAGTTCTTAGCCAAGTTCAGGTTTTACACCTAAAATTCTTTGCCTTTATTCCCCTTCCATTCAATATAGTTGCTTTTTATTTCTTTACTTGATGACTAAATTTGCTAGTACATTAGAAGTGATGTGGTTCTTGGACTTTTTTTGGTTGCTTAAGGATTACATTGTTATACATAATTTATAATTTCAAATCGAATACTGCCATATAAGAAGGGCGAAATATGGTCTGGGGAAGTGTTTGTTTGATTAATATAAAATCGAAGCGGCAATGGAAATCATTATGATTTTATTTTCTTATGCAGCCCGGATATCTGCGTGAACTTCTGCCAGACTCTGCACCAACTCACCCTGAATCATTACAAGATGTTTTGAATGGTGAAAGTTTGAATTACTTATATTTGCTTTTGCAATTTGATTTTGATTGTCCAGTTTTACTATTTAGCACTTGTGTGGAGATTATTCGAAAAGTAAGGGTCCATTTGGTATGTGATTCAATTTTCAGTTTCGAGTTCATTTTTAATTTTAGTCTGTTTTAAAATAAAACGCGCTTGATTTGTTATTTTAAAAATAATTTCTCCAAACAAAAAAACTTGAAAACACATTTGGCTTGAAAATTAAAAAAATTGTTCTCTAACATTTATTCCATGAAATTTGATTATTCAGCAAGAATATAACAATTTTTTTCTTAATAATATTATCAAGTAATATATATGCCCCCGTTTGGCCCCCATTTTTTCAAATTAAAATGGGTGGGATAGTATTTTTTTGAAGAATGAGTGGTTGAAAAAGAAGGAAAAGTTTTTTTATTTATGTGTAATATTATTTTATGGAAGATTGTGTGATTGAAAATAAAAGAGAGAAAAATGAAATTTTATTTAATGGGGGCCCGACTTGGGCATATATCTTAAAATTGGTGAATCCTATAATATTATTTA